CCAGCCAGCAGCACTGCTTCCCTTGGAGGGGTTTTGTTAAACGAGGCTGGTTTTACAACCATGTCCAAGGACATATCATTTCAGAGTACCTCCCAGAGCTGCAGCAGGCTGCTTTCCAGCCGTTGGCATTATAGAGAAGTCCAGAGGGCTGGCCAGCCTAAAGTAATTTGCATTGGTCAGTTTGACCCTGGCAGCTCAGGAAATTGGTATTTCTGTGGATTTGGCAGGAGCAAAATGAAAAGCAGCATCCAGGTCTTGGCAAGGGACTGTGTGAGAGCCATGGCTGGCAATTAGGAGAGCAAGTTGTTTGCCTGCAGGCTGGTGCATGAAGAGATAAGAGTCCTATTTCACCTCACCTTGGGACCCGCAGAAAGAGCTGGGGAACAAAATCTATGTCATTCTTCTGCCTGGGGCTCGAAGTTTTGTTTGTTACCTAGAGTCCTGTGTGCAATGGGAAGCCTGGCCTGCTCCTGTACAGAGGAGCAAGCAAAGGGAGAAAGGGCCAGAAACTGGAGTCTGTAGTGATGTGCCTGGGAGGGGCAGCCCACATCAATCCCAGCTGCTCTGGGTAGAGTTTGCCTTTGCAGAATGAATCGTTAAGGAGCAAGGCACAGAGGAGGGATTTCAGAGCCAGCTTGGAAGGGAAGGAAGGTTTTGAGGGCTGTTGCTGCTGGGAAAGGCTTTGGAGCAGTTTCTAAATACAGATTTGGGATGATCTTCATGCCTTCTTTAAAATGGGAAATTGAAAGCCCCTCAGAGCTGGTTGTGCTGGCAGGGCAAAGCCACTCTGTGCTCCTGATGTGGAGGTCTGGTTGGGAGATCAGCAAAGGGGAGTACATCTAGCCTGATTCTGGGGAGCACTCCCTTGCATTCTTCTCCTAACCTGTGCTGACTCTTGGGTCAGAGATTTTAGACTTAGGAAAGGGTTTTGTTTTGGGGTTTTTGTGGTCATTGGGGTTTTCTTATGTTGTATTTTCCTGCATTTCCCCGTCTGTGTTCTCTCTCTTTCCCATCCCACCTTTTGATTGTCTACATCCTTGCTTACCATTTATCCCCTCACATTCCACCCTTTCTCCCTTCTACCTACTTTTTCTAGAAAAACAAGGGGTGAAGCTGCTGCTGGGAGCAGCTATCCCATACAATGGCTCTTAGGGATCTGTAGCTGCAGAGAGGTTTGGGTCCAGGTGCACAGCCCTGACTCTCAGTAGATGTGGGCACAGGAAGAGAGTGATGGACTCCAGTGAAATGAGAGGACCCTGCCAAGTGGCACTAGTGCAGGGGGTGCTTGGAGAGCACAGCAGAGGAGGTGTGAGTGGTTTCAAAAAAAAAGGAATAGCATCGAGGCTTGGCTCCCTTCAGCATCTCCCCAAGAGGACTCTGCAGCCCTGCTTCACCATCAGCACAGGGACTTGGATGCTCTTAGTTCATTAGTAAAATCTCTGAGCAGTTCCTACTGCTGTTGAGTACCCATTAATGCCTCTTGAGGGGAGAGGAGTGCATTGGAAAAGCACAAAAACAATCTGAGGGTCCTTGATCTCTTTTTGGTCTGAGAGGTCATAGGCTGAGGTTGGAGGGGAAGAGGGGCCGGGCAGGGACGCCAGGCATGAAAGCAGCACTGCGATTATCTGCTGAAGTCTTAAGTGCAAAAACATAACCTGATTTGAACTGTTACTTCTCCAAGGCTCCCAAGGGGTGGTTTAGGGTTATAAACACCTACTAAGCGACCTGCTTTGTGCAGATCTTGAGCCAGGTATTCCTGCACCAGAGGGAAAGCCAGCAAAACCTACACAGATGTCCCTAACAGCTGCAGCCAGGCTGCTGTAAGCCACCCCTGCTGCTACAGTTTATTAGCACTGCAGGTCTGTCCCTTTCTCCCCCTTCTCCTTGCCTGCTTGTGTGTACAGTCAGCTGTTAAAGGACACTGACATCACTTAATGGTTTAATTGAATCTCACAAAGGGATGGAAATTGGCTACCTGACTCTTGTCACTGAGATGCTCACAGAAGAAATAGTAAATCACCAATTCAGCAGATAAAACTGCAGTTCTTGGTAGAAAGTTCTTGTTGCTGGGGACAGGGGAGTAATTCCTCTTTGCAGGATAATACACTATTAGGGAGAAAGCTGGGGGCTATTTTTCCAAGCTACCAGGTGCCATCCCTGTCCAAGGGAAGAGTAACTGAGTTAGTCTAAATCCCCAAGGTGTCTAGCACTCAGTAAGGAGTAAACAGACCTGAGGCAGCATTTTAGCTGTAACTGTTCTGTATTTTACACAGAGATTTATAGGCATACAATGGAGAGAGGTCCATGTGGTAGTTTAAAATGGAAGGCAAACCCCCAAAAAAGGGCATGGTTGAACCAGGAATCAGTAGCAGTTTCTGAGCTTGTTTCACAGGAAAAGTATTCTTTGAGTGCAGGAAATCAAAAGTCAGGAAGGAATGGAGGGAAAAATGTCCAAGAGCAATGGGGAAACCCAAAGGGAGAGGATATGACCCTAATGAGGATGCTAATGCTGTGGCCACACTATTGACGAGTAAAGTAATTGCTGCTCAGGAGGAATGTGAAGCAGTAGAAAACAGCTTTCCACCCAGGCGCCAAGAAAAGCAATTAGAACTGGTAAACACCAGTGGCTGACTAAAACCAGGCCCTTAATTAATAGTTTTGTCTGAATGGTAAGGAAATCATTAAGCACTATTGGTGTCTATTAATTCCCTGCAAGATGAACCACAACAGACAGTTTTAAGACTTCTTTCGGCGAACGGTGTGTGCAGGAAGGAGTGTCTGAGCCCTTGCTTTGTGCAGCTGTGCTCTGCTGCCTCCCTGACTTCCCAGAGCCCTGGGATGTGCTGCAGGATAAACAGCTAGGACTGAGCAAGAAGTTAGGATATGGCTTTGTGGGTGCTCCATCAGGACAAGAGAGAAGGTGGGTGGAAAATGTGACCTCAACAAAAAGCTGCACAACTAAAGCACTGTGCTGAGCTCAGGGGGGAGTACAAGGAGCTGGGGGTCTGGAAGACTAACATTGCTGTACAGATCAGCCACTGCACTGTGGAGAAGAGTGTCAGCCTCTTCTGTCCGGCTCAGAGGGTGCTGTAGGAACATCAGTAGGAGAAAGAAGTAGGGATAGCTACCAAAACTCAGTAGGACACAGAGACATAAAACTTCCCACTGTATAAGCAGTGGCAATGCACTGTCAGACCTCCTAAAATCTTCACAAATAGCCAGAAACCAAGAGTGTTAAGGAGTAGCTTTTACAAAGGGCACAGCCTTGATTCTAAGTCTGGGTAAGACAAAGGTTTATTCTTGTTGCTTTCTGAATCCTGAGTCACCCACGTACTCTTCCCTGAATTTCGGGAGAATCACAGGTCTCTTCACAATCTTATTTTCCAATTTGTTCTATCGTCTTGCTGTGACGTGGGCACTTCTGCATTGATGCAGTGAGCAGCCTGTGGTAGAGAATGGTAGTGTTTGGTTTTCTCAGTGTGTTAGACAGTACGTTGCTGACAACCCTGGCAGCACAGGCTGATGCTGCTCCTCCTTTCTCAGGGCTGGTCACTGTGCTCGGCACAGACACCAGCCCAGCCTTGCTGTTAAGCACATCAGTGCTCACACACATGCCCTCCCCAGCTAGCTGCCTCCACACTCAGAGAATTAATCTTGGCAGTTTATAGCTGACCTGCTATATTCTCCTTAAAAAGAAGATGAAGTTACTTAGAAGCTAAGCCCTATGTCTGAAGCCAGGGGGAAGCTCTTCTAGTATGCCCAGCATCTGTGGAAGAGCCTCTCTTCCTTGCTGTCAAGTTTGTGACAGCTCAAGGAAGTTCCCTTTAAGATCATCTACCCTCCATTCAAATTCAGACAGTTGGACTAAGGCAGGGGATTCATCTGAATCTTGTTTTCTTCTCTTCTGTCAAATGCAACTCAACAGGCTCTTCTAAGCAGACTGATTGCTTTCAAAACCTGCTCTATGCCATTCAGCCCCATGAAGGAGGTTCACTGCCTTGTTGCCATGGTACCCTTTCTCTGAAGAGGAAGAAAATAGTTAATTATGCAATTTAAGAAACTACAGAAGAACGACAGAAAGAGAAATAATAGGGAGGAAGATTCTGGGTTTGTGATAGAGCTGCTGGCTGTTCCAAAATACACCCTGTTTACAGCTGAAATCCTTGTCCAGTGCATGGTGTAGGGGGCCAGGGCTTCTCTGGCAGCAGGATTTCATGGAGGTGCCCTTTGCTAGGCAGTGTGCCTCTGCCATCCAGGAAATCAGTCCTGGAGTCAGTTGCTGTTGCTGTTACCTTCCCTGGTTAATGCTCCACACATATTTCCTTGGCAGAAATTCTGGATGGAACTGGGACAGCAATAATACATCACAGACCCATGACAAGCTCCTGCTGCTTGTGGTTATACAGAGGTACAGTTCAAGACTTTAGTGTTTTAAATCTCCTTGGCAGGATTTCAGTGTTCCTCAGGCCTACTAACCCCGGCTTGCTTTCCCCAGGACCCCGGAAAATGCAGCTCATGGTGCACAAGGCAGGGCCAAAGAGACCATAAGCATCAAATCTGGCAAGATCCCAGCCCCTTTATGAGGACTGGCATTTTCTTTTGCCAAGAGCACTGGCAGACCAGTACAGCTTGGGTGAAACAAAGCACCACAACAGATCTTTGCCAGTAATGGATCCAGACCAGTGCTCTGTGCTCTGCCAACAGAGAGACTTGCCTCTTGCACAGCACAACACTGAGCTCTGCAAGCCAAAGGGAAGGAAAGAGTTACCCCATGCCTTGTTTCCCAATGTGTGCAGTGAGAGAAAGAAGGAAGGAAGATGATGTGACCCCATACAGTTGTTTACTACAAGGAGATCAAGACCTCAGCTCCCCCTCTGCCTAACAAGGGTACTAATAGCACTGACGGCTAGACAAGAGCCACATATGGTGGTAAGAGGAAGAGAGTAGTGGAGAGGCAATAATGATCCAAAATACGTCTGGGAACACAGCAGGAACAGTCATCAAAAGACCAACATTTTAATCAACAAACTTTGTAGACAAGAGGTTTCCCACTAAGGGAGGACACATATTCCTGATTCCACCACTTCTAGCACCTGGACTTTTAAGGTCCAGGATGGTCTGGGCCATCTCTTCTTCAAGCTTCCCTCAACAAGTATATCCAGGGAGAGTGGCTTTCCAGAATCTGTCACAGGAGCAACATTGCACCCAGTCCCTGTTGCATGCACTGATGTTGAAAGCTGTGTGTGTCTTTCACTGCCTCCTCACATTCTCCTGGCTTTGCGGGGGCGGCAGCCATTGTGGGGAACTGGTGTGTTGTCTGTGATGGAGATGACCTCCAAACCTCCCATCGTCAAACCCTTGATGGCAGCCTGCAAGAACAAGACAGCAGATGACACACTGTTATCAACATACGGAACAGCAGAGAAGGGAAAAAGCTCAGGGAAGAACAGTTTGGTCCCCCATCCAAAAACCAACTTGTTTCAATAGTTCTACTTTGTAATTATCTTAAAAATAAGTAACTCATATCAGAAAACACAGTTTAAACCTCTCTGCTCCAGTGCTTTCTTCAGCATTCCCATCAATTTTCCTACTTTAGCTGGAAGAAGTCACAAATACAGCTTTTCTTCTGCCTCCGAAGTGATATTACTCTACCATTCTAATGATTCTAAAAAATTCATAACTAAGCACTGGAGTGATGAATCCTTTAATCACCTTCAGAAAACCCAAGTTAATTAAGACCAGCCTGAATTAAAAGAAACTGCATGATGCCTGGGAAAGAAAAATATGAAATTCCAACACTTACTTTGCGTCCTGGTCCCAGTCCTTTCACCATAACTCGCACGTGCAGTACACCCTTCCCACGTGCTTTCTGCGAAAAGAACAACTGGTTAGTGTTCCCTTGGCTAGAACTGCTGCTGCTCTGGCTCCCCTGGAATCTTTCATTCCCTTCTGACCCACTAGCATAGTATTCTTTAAGTATGAAGAGAGTAGGTAGTAATGGATACAGAAAAGACATAGAGGGATTATCGCACAGGGACACTAGGAGCAGAGGAGGCCTGGATATAGCCATGGCAGCTCCAAGAGAACTTCTGTGCTAGACTGTCAGCTCTGCAGACACAGAAAGCTCTAAGATCAAACTATCTGTGACCTAAAGCCAGGGCAAAAAAGAACATATCCATGGAAACATGACTGAACTTGCAAGAGACGATCAAGGTCTAACTCAAAGCTGTTTCTAATGTGGCAACTTCTCTTCTTGAGACCAGTGGATTCCCTCTGGAGGGTAAATGGGAAGAGCAGGCAAGCTTTAGATTTGCAGGAGTCCACACCTCCAGTGCAAGAATTCTAGGGGCTTGTAAATTGGAAATGAGGAACTGCTGTACAGCACAGCCCTGCTGCCACCACGTGGAGAAAGCTCCTCTGGCTCTCTCATTGCGTTCTGGTGCAATTAACGTCCTAACAACTTCCACAGTGACAGAATAAATCTGTCCAAGCACAGCTACACAGCTATTATGAGGCTTCAATGAGCACAGATTAATAGTGAAGATGTTCTTATATTCCTCTGAGTCAACCACAATAAGCTGTTGGCCAGCAGTGGCACCAAACACCTCTGACATGAAAGGCTGGAGTGAGTTCCATCTAATTTAAGATGAGGATTTTCAGTTTAACCTTGCTTCATTCTGCTGTAACGAGGACCATGACACAGCCAGCCTCATCTTCTCCTGCCACCTGTACACCCACATGGTTTTTACACTCAGTTACAGTAAACCATATGCAGCTGGAAACTACACATGCAAGGACATCACCTTCTCTGACTGGAACTGCTGGCAGGAGCTCAATTCTCCTGTGCAGAGAGCAAATACTAAACATCCAGCCAGGATCTACAGCTGCTTCTCAGTCCTCTGCAGAGCCAAAATGAACTGCTTCTGCATCAGGAGCTACATTCCCCAAATGGCTGAGATGTTCACTTAGTTAAAAATGGAGCTGTGCAAACTGGTGCTAGAAGAGCACAGGCTCCATGTTACATTTCCAATCACAACCTGCACAGCTCAGCTCACCCTTGGGCATTTCTAACAGGTGCTTCAAAGAGCTTTGTCCATGTGCAGATGTGCAGTGTGTTGGATGAAGCCTGGGACGCTGCCAGCAAGCAGCAGCTGCTCCAGCACTATGGAACAGCTCTGGAATGCTGCCAGTGAGCCAGGTGTGTGCCCAGGCACGGGGGGAGGCAGTCAGTGCTCCCCTGGGGGACAATGGGACCCATCAGCACGGACTCACCGTTGCTGCCGCGATGGCCGCGGTCTGTGCCGCGATAGCAGTTCCCTTCTTGGCGTTCTGGAAGCCTTCGGTGCCGCAGGACGTGCGAGCAAAGGGCCTGTTGTCAAAGCTGACCACCTGGATGTGGGTGCTGTGGAAACGGGGGGGAAAGGGGAAACAAAGCTTGATTCTCATTTCTTCTTGCTCACTATACTGGCACAGCTCACTGCAGGGCTCCTGTCTCCCTTCTCCAAGCCACCCCAGCTCAGCACTCCCTTTCCAGCCATCCCACTTACTGAACCTGCTGCAGAGACCTCCCAGCAAGTGATCCTACAGAAGGTTCTGCCACCTCACCCTTCTGGATAAGGTGTGTTTCATCCAGGTACACCTCAGGTCCCGCTCAGCCCTTTCAGACCCACCTTTCACTGTGAGCAGTTTACCTCTGCCAGTTATTAAAAAACCCACACAAAACAACTGTAGAACTTGAAAGACCTTTAAGAAACAGTAAAACATCACAGTAGGGATCATTAATAAAATACAACCGTCTCATGGAGAATATGGTAATTTGTTCAGCAGCTGTACAGCAATAGTGCTAGAGCAGAGGGCTGGAAGTCACCTGCTGTTAAAGCTGTCAGCATCTGATTACTCTTATCAGAATGTAGTCAAAAGGCATGAAAACAATCTGACTGCTTTAAAGACACTCTAAGGACTGTTATGCTTCCTGAACAGCATTGAGGTTTGAATCAGTACCACTTCCCCAGTCATGAACACCAGTCCCCTGGCTGCTTTTCTTTAATTCTTTTGATCCAAATGATGACAGGCCAAAGCCCAGGTATGTTCCAAGCTTTCCTTTTGCAGGAGAACAGGAATGGAGGAGCTCATCTGCTTACTTGTTGTATGTCGCTTTGATGTGAGCTATCGGGATCTCTTCATAAACCTTCCCGTCCCATCTCATGGAGTTCCTCTGCAGGACGAAATTGCTGAGGAGCAAAACAAGAATTACCAGGCCTCACTCTTTTAAATTTTGCAAAATCACAGACTCACAGAGTCAGTCAGGTTGGAAAAGGCCTCTGAGATCATCAAGTCCAACCTATGACCTAACACCACCATGTCAACCAGACCATGGCATGAAGTGCCATGTCCAGTCTCTCCTTAAATACCTGCAGGGAGGTGACTCCACCGGAGGAGCAAAACAAGAATTACCAGGCCTCACTCTTTTAAATTTTGCAAAATCACAGACTCACAGAGTCAGTCAGGTTGGAAAAGGCCTCTGAGATCATCAAGTCCAACCTATGACCTAACACCACCATGTCAACCAGACCATGGCATGAAGTGCCATGTCCAGTCTCTCCTTAAATACCTGCAGGGAGGTGACTCCACCGCTGGGTGCCACCACTGCCCTGGGCAGCCTCTTCCAGGGCCTGACCACCCTTCCAGTGAGGACATTTTCCCTCATCTCCAATTTAAATCTTCCCTGGTACAACGTGAAGTCTTTTCCTCTGCTCCTGTCACTTGTTGTTTGGAGGAAGAGACCAACTCCCACCTGGCTCCAACCTCCTTTCAGGGAGCTGTAGAGAGTGATAAGGTCATTCTCTTCTCCAGGCTAAGCACCCCCAGCCTCTCCTCAGGGGACTCGCATTCCAAATTTTATTTCACATACTAGCAAAGAAAGAAGAAGGTACTAAGCCCCTGCAAGACACAAGCTGCACTTCTGATTGAGCCAAGTCGCTCCTTCCCCTTCCTTGGCTCCCAAGGTGACAAAACCTTTGATGCAAAGAAATCAACCCAACAAAATCAAATCAACAATATTGTTATCAAGCATCCCTTTACTGGTGGTGCATGGTGGTCTGTGACCCCTGGTGATTATAGTCTTCATCACTTGTCTGCTGGATGATCTCTCCTGTTGGGCACATGCAACAATGCATGCAAGACATCCCTTCTGGTCATCTTTCTAAACATCTGAGAGGTTCTAGCCGGTGTTGGTGCCCCAATTCCTTGGGGAAATGTCTTACCAGTACCTTTTGGCCTTGCACTTACCTCCTTCACTTCACAGAGGCGCTAAGAGTTGCAGTGTATCTTCACTCGTGCAGACATCACACATTCCTACCCGCTTAGCTTTTGCAAGCGTAGCAGCCAGGCTTTGAGCAGAAACTTACCGCTACAACTACGTCAAAAGCGTGGCTAACATCAGTTACAACGATAGTTACAAACAGTAGTCTCTACCGCAGCTCCTGTCCCAAGTTATTTTGTTACCACAGGTTTAGCTTTACGTAGCCTCTCAGTACGAAGC